TTACGATTTTTGACCCCCCCCCCCCCCTTCGTCACACGGCGTCACAAAAAGTCAGACCCCCCACAAATATGACGTCACAAAGCTCTGCCCCCCCCCCCAAAAAATAAAACATGCTTCAAATCGCTGTATACTATTGTCATTGTAGTGCGTATTTAATGTGGCGCTGCACTCTGATGTTGTAGGAGAAAACATTTATTAAAAAGTGTATTTCATTAAGTAGAACGTGTTGTCTATATTTATTTAAAGTTGCGCATCTTGATGTGACGTCACATTTCTCAAACCCCCCCTCGTCACATATCGTCACAAGTGTATGACCCCCCTCCCTCCCTCCCTAGGTGTGTGACGTCATTGATCGACGGCCCCTTGTTGATCCATGAGGGTGGGTGAGGCTGGTATTCAGAATCAGAATATTTATTTAGAGTGGGGGAATCCGATGAGCTATGAAGCTCTTTTTTAAAATCAATACGTCCAATGTTTCACAGATGTCCAATATCAGCCATGGGTGGGAATCAATCTTAGGCGAGCTGTTTCGGAATGTTTGGGAAGAAGGGCGACAACATCGCAAACGATTGGGGTCACTTCAACAAAATATGGATTCATGTGACACGGGCCCAGAGACGGGATGCGCTCAACGACCACGACCCTCCACGCACGGGGCGCCACACGCAGCATACCTCCCCAGAACACTGCCGCGTGAAAGCCTCTCAACGCTGTCTCAGGCATTCTGGTCGTTTGACCATACTTCACCACGCTGGTCAGTACGGGTGATGAGGGTGGAGGAGGGGGGGGTTAGCGCTGTGTTGCACTACGAGCCCAGCGACCCGAGTTCGATTCGCGCTCACGGCCAACACGAAGTGACGATTATTAGAACCGGTTCTGGGCCTCCCCTAGGTCGATGCAGCCTCAAATTAGTACCTGGCGCGGTGCGTAAAGGGATCGCCACTTTGGAGACAAAGGCGGCCGGGCGTGGGGCTGGCCACCCACCCCCTCGTGTGCCGTTCCGGCCTTCATAGGTGGTACTCGCTAGCAGCACTTGCCCCAACAGTCTGTTACAGGCTACACGAGATGTTTACACAACAAAAGATGAGGTTCCACTGACGACCTCGCATCCCTCGCCTGCCCCACACCACGGTTCCAACCACACACCACCACCACTCGTCTCGTGTATCAACCACACACCACCACCACTCGTCTCGTGTATCAACCACACACCACCACCACTCGTCTCGAGTATCAACCACACACCACCACCACTCGTCTCGTGTATCAACCACACACCACCACCACTCGTCTCGTGTATCAACCACACACCACCACCACTCGTCTCGTGCATCAACCACACACCACCACCACTCGTCTCGTGCATCAACCACACACCACCACCACTCGTCTCGTGTATCAACCACACACCACCACCACTCGTCTCGTGCATCAACCACACACCACCACCACTCGTCTCGTGTATCAACCACACACCACCACCACTCGTCTCGTGCATCAACCACACACCACCACCACTCGTCTCGAGTATCAACCACACACCACCACCACTCGTCTCGTGTATCAACCACACACCACCACCACTCGTCTCGTGCATCAACCACACACCACCACCACTCGTCTCGTGTATCAACCACACACCACCACCACTCGTCTCGTGTATCAACCACACACCACCACCACTCGTCTCGAGTATCAACCACACACCACCACCACTCGTCTCGTGTATCAACCACACACCACCACCACTCGTCTCGTGCATCAACCACACACCACCACCACTCGTCTCGTGCATCAACCACACACCATCGCCACTCGTCTCGTGTATCAACCACACACCACCACCACTCGTCTCGTGCATCAACCACACACCACCACCACTCGTCTCGTGTATCAACCACACACCATCGCCACTCGTCTCGTGTATCAACCACACACCACCACCACTCGTCTCGTGCATCAACCACACACCATCGCCACTCGTCTCGTGTATCAACCACACACCACCACCACTCGTCTCGTGCATCAACCACACACCATCGCCACTCGTCTCGTGTATCAACCACACACCACCACCACTCGTCTCGTGCATCAACCACACACCATCGCCACTCGTCTCGTGTATCAACCACACACCATCGCCACTCGTCTCGTGTATCAACCACACCACTCGTCTCGTGTATCAACCACACACCATCACCACTCGTCTCGTGTATCAACCACACACCACCACCACTCGTCTCGTGTATCAACCATCACCACTCGTCTCGTGTATCAACCACACACCATCGCCACTCGTCTCGTGTATCAACCACACCATCGCCACTCGTCTCGTGTATCAACCACACCACTCGTCTCGTGTATCAACCACACACCATCACCACTCGTCTCGTGTATCAACCACACACCACCACCACTCGTCTCGTGTATCAACCATCACCACTCGTCTCGTGTATCAACCACACACCATCGCCACTCGTCTCGTGTATCAACCACACACCATCACCACTCGTCTCGTGTATCAACCACACACCACCACCACTCGTCTCGTGTATCAACCATCACCACTCGTCTCGTGTATCAACCACACACCATCGCCACTCGTCTCGTGTATCAACCACACACCACCACCACTCGTCTCGTGTATCAACCACACACCACCACCACTCGTCTCGAGTATCAACCACACCACCACCACTCGTCTCGTGTATCAACCACACACCACCACCACTCGTCTCGTGTATCAACCACACACCACCACCACTCGTCTCGTGTATCAACCACACACCACCACCACTCGTCTCGTACATCAACCACACACCACCACCACTCGTCTCGTGTATCAACCACACACCACCACCACTCGTCTCGTGTATCAACCACACACCACCACCACTCGTCTCGTGTATCAACCACACACCACCACCACTCGTCTCGTGTATCAACCACACACCACCACCACTCGTCTCGTGTATCAACCACACACCACCACCACTCGTCTCGTGCATCAACCACACACCACCACCACTCGTCTCGTGTATCAACCACACACCACCACCACTAGTCTCGTGCATCAACCACACGCCACCACCACTCATCTCGTGTATCAACCACACACCACCACCACTCGTCTCGTGCATCAACCACACACCACCACCACTAGTCTCGTGCATCAACCACACACCACCACCACTAGTCTCGTGCATCAACCACACACCACCACCACTAGTCTCGTGCATCAACCACACACCACCACCACTCGTCTCGTGTATCAACCACACACCACCACCACTAGTCTCGTGCATCAACCACACACCACCACCACTAGTCTCGTGCATCAACCACACACCACCACCACTCGTCTCGTGCATCAACCACACACCACCACCACTCATCTCGTGCATCAACCACACACCACCACCACTCGTCTCGTGTATCAACCACACACCATCACCACTCGTCTCGTGTATCTACCACACACCATCACCACTCGTCTCGTGCATCAACCATCACCACTCGTCTCGTGCATCAACCACACACCACCACCACTCGTCTCGTGTATCAACCACACACCACCACCACTCGTCTCGTGTATCAACCACACACCATCACCACTCGTCTCGTGTATCTACCACACACCATCACCACTCGTCTCGTGCATCAACCATCACCACTCGTCTCGTGTATCAACCACACACCACCACCACTCGTCTCGTGCATCAACCATCACCACTCGTCTCGTGTATCTACCATACACCATCACCACTCGTCTCGTGCATCAACCATCACCACTCGTCTCGTGCATTAACCATCACCACTCGTCTCGTGCATCAACCATCACCACTCGTCTCGTGCATCAACCATCACCACTCGTCTCGTGTATCTACCACACACCATCACCACTCGTCTCGTGCATCAACCATCACCACTCGTCTCGTGTATCAACCACACACCACCACCACTCGTCTCGTGCATCAACCATCACCACTCGTCTCGTGCATCAACCATCACCACTCGTCTCGTGCATCAACCACACACCACCACCACTCATCTCGTGTATCAACCACACACCACCACCACTCGTCTCGTGTATCAACCACACACCATCACCACTCGTCTCGTGTATCAACCACACACCACCACCACTCGTCTCGTGCATCAACCACACACCACCACCACTCATCTCGTGTATCAACCACACACCACCACCACTCGTCTCGTGCATCAACCATCACCACTCGTCTCGTGTATCTACCACACACCATCACCACTCGTCTCGTGCATCAACCATCACCACTCGTCTCGTGCATTAACCATCACCACTCGTCTCGTGCATCAACCATCACCACTCGTCTCGTGCATCAACCATCACCACTCGTCTCGTGTATCTACCACACACCATCACCACTCGTCTCGTGCATCAACCATCACCACTCGTCTCGTGTATCAACCACACACCACCACCACTCGTCTCGTGCATCAACCATCACCACTCGTCTCGTGCATCAACCACACACCACCACCACTCGTCTCGTGTATCAACCATCACCACTCGTCTCGTGTATCTACCACACACCATCACCACTCGTCTCGAGGGGGGAGGAGGGGAGGGAGGGCGGCTGGAGAGGATTCAGGTCGATCACCTTCGCCGTGGTCGGGAATCGAACTCTGGTTTATCGCAGCGCGCTCACGACTGCCCCCCCCCGTACCCGACGATTCCATTCCGCGTGAGATAGCAGCCCCAGGAGCAGTCCCCCCTGCTCTTGTGGCGAGGGGCGGGGCTGGGTGGGGGGGCTACTCCCTCTTCTCTGATTGCGCTGCACAGGCGCGGGCGGGCGTTGGTCTGCGCGCTGCTCCGCTGCTTCCCTCGCGGAGTGTGGGGGCGGGGGTGGTGTGATGCAGCAGCCCCGCCCCCCACCCGAGCGCTGACTCCCGCACTCGCTCCGAGCCGCCGCCTCCTCTCTCCCGATTGTCGCCTGCGCGCTCCCGAGTCGCGCCATGCCCGCACTCGCCTAAGGAGCCATGGAGCCCGGCTCGGAGTCGCAGCCGCCGCTGCTGCTGCCGCCGCTGCTGCTGCTGGTGCTTCTGCTCGCCGCCCCCGCGACTCTCGCTTCAGGTAAGAGTCGCTGCGACTCGAGAACGGAGAGTTGCTCGCGACTTGTTTCCGAGCGACACTGGCGATGCCCACAGCCGCCAGTGGTTTTGACTTGCGGTTTGCATCGCTGTCAACGCCTTGTCAGTGCCCTACCTAATTGTAGACTAATTCAGACCTCATTGGTCACCCCGTGCCCCTTACAAATCTCAACGTTCATCCTACAAAGTCCCATCACCACAATGGAGAAACACAAACAAATAGACCACAAATTACGGGGGGGGGGGGGGGTGCCCGTATTGAAACGGCTGTACACCGTATGGACCTAAACACTCAAATTCCCTGCACAAGAATACGGGGTACGACGGGTTGACAGCGGTGGGTTTGTAGTTGCTGGCCGCTGTGTGTCTCTTTGCAAGTTTACAGTCGCGCATTTTTGCTGGCAACTAAGCGTATGACCGTATCGCTCGTTAATCAATGCTCCCTCTTCCACAGTTATTCATTCACTCTCTGCGGGGTTTCTGTTGTTTACTGCACCAAACTTAAACGCCGTCTTGTGTTGCACTCATTTACTGAGGATTAAATATCGCGGTGTAACATCGGTTGCGTCCAAAGGACCGGTCGGCATCGCATACCTCGAGTCGTGTAACGTAGTGTGTGTTACTCCCTCTTGAGATACTCTCTCTATCAAAATTAACCCCCTGTACATGGTATATAGTAAACAACAAAGACAAACATCTCCCCGTGTAGCATTAACAGACTGTTGGGGCAAGCGCTGTAAGCGAGTAGCACCTATGAAGGCTACCGGCACGGCAGTGGTTGACCAACACCACGCCCTGCCGCCTTTGTCTCCCTCGTGGCGATGTTAACGTACCGCACCAGGCACTCATTTGAGGCCGAGTCGACCTAGGGGGAGGCTCACGACCGGTTCAGATCATTAATCGTTACCGGTGTTGGTGGCCGTGAGCGGGAATCGAACTCGGGTCGCTGGGTTCGTAGCGTTGCGGTGACCGCTGCACCACCGCTACCCACGTAGTAAACACACACGTGGCATTCCACCACCATCGCTCTGTCTGCAATTGCATTGCGCCAGTTCTTCTTGAAATTCCAAGTCACCTCGTTGCAACCACAGTTTTAATGTGTTGCTGTCATGCGCTTAAGCGCGAAAAAAGAAATAAAAGAAGAAATTACATTAAATTGCGCGAACAATTGTAAAATTAACTATCGGAGAGGTGTTGGGGTTAGATCGCGTAAATATAAATGTGTCGTTAAACCGGCCACCACCCGACACAGCCAATTAGTAAGGGGTTTGTCACGTAAACAAAACGTGCCAAGTCGTTAGGACAGTACACCCGCTTGTGTGTTGGAGAGTAAACCCACAAAATGTACAATGTTGTGTTAAATTGTAAAGTTATAATATTTTTGCTGGAAAAAGTCATACAGTATTTAATCGCGTGAACGTGTCGTTCATAGAGAAAGATTATATTATTATAAAGCGACAGCAGCAGCGAGCGGAGGCTGCGTGTGTTGGCAGATCAGGCGCCAAGATGCAGGAAAACAAATCCACGCGTCGATTTGCTTTCATGCATCCGATGAACACTTGAGATGTTAACAACGATTAATTGAATGGAAAAAAATGCCTTGATTCCATTTGGTTAAATACTTTGTATTTTTAATAAATGCTGACTTGTGTGTGTGTGTGTGCGTGGCTCAGCGATTGCGCGAGCGCCGCCCCAGTCAGAATGGTTGCGAGTTCAAACCCTGGTTGGGGGTGGTTGACTCGAGCACCACTTTTAGGGAGTTGGAGGAAGAGGAGGTCAACAGGGGAGGGCTGTCCGATGGACAGACTCGCCCCCGCCAGAGGCATGTGGAATTTCCACCACAGACTGGCTTCCCTCTGGGGCGAAGGCTGAATGCGCGCGTGCGGAGTAGGAAGGAGCCGCTCGCCACGCTGGGGTTGGTGGCGCACACGGGATGTCGTCACTCGCCCCTCTTTACGCTTGCACCAACTAATTGAGTTTGTTCGCCTCTCCAGAGGCGGGAGATGGTCTAGTCAATATTCAATGCTTGCAGCAGCAACGAGGACTGATGTTGTGTTAATTTGGATGACAACACGTTTTTTTAAAGGGTTATCCATTCCACGTGTTCCATGGGATATATTTCTTCGCAAATGGCATTTTAATGCAAAGTCGTTATATGTAATGAAGGCAAGGATGATTCCCGAGGGCAGACGAGAATTCGATGACCTATTTTGTTTAAGGCTGGACTCTTGGAAGAACGTTAACAAATAAGCGCATCGCTCTAAGACAAGCAGCGACAACGAACAGAGCAAATATGTAACACTTCAACAGCAACGTAGAAGTTTCTAAGAAGCAAATAATTAGAATAATTCCATGTATATCGCGCTTTCATCAAGGATCTCAAAGCGCTGTACAGGACACAACAGCAGCCACTCGGTTTAAAAATTATGATATATTATATTACAAATATATTTTAAAACTTTCCTAAGCGGAAGCATGTAAATAGATTTTCAGACGCATTTTAAAAATGTCCACAGACTCGGAGATCTTGATATCTCGTGAAGGCCGACACGAATATCCTTCACTCCAGCCCGCTAATGTCCGCGTGTGACAATCCAGGGGAGGCTGGTTTGCGCGTGGAAAGGAAACCGCGTTAACGACAGCGGCGTGATCAATATTCGCGCATAACACCCACCCACGGGCGCTCCCACACTCCCACCGCCGTCGCCGCCACCACCGCTGTCGTGCTTCATCGCCCCCCCCCCCCTACCCGGGGGGGGGGGGGGGCATTGTGGAGCAGAATCTCACAGCGCCAAAGGGCCTGAAGAATCGACTCCTCTCGCGCGGGGACTGGGCCAATCCCACGCTCCCGCCGCTAACCAGTCCTCGTGACACGTGCCATGAATGAGAAGCCACGCGTCAACTGAAAGGGCCCTGATTTATGCGTTGATATTTGACATGCACCCGGACCTGTTCCCCCTGAAATGGGGACCCAGACGGAAGCTTGCTCCTCCTCCCACCAAAAAAACGCACACTCACTCACCCACTCACCCACTCACTCACTCACTCACCCACTCAGCTCACTGCAGGTCACATGACACACTTACCCACCCACTCACCACACTGTATGTCACATTACACACTCACCCACCCACTCACTCACCCCACCACTCACCCACTCACCACACTGCAGGTTACCTCACTTCTCTCTGCTTCTCTCCTCGCACTGCTCCACTTTGCAATCCTTCCTCCTCCCACCGTCATCTCTTTTCGCAAACTAGTCGTCACTACTACGGTTACTGTTTCCATGAACTTCCCTTACCGAGTCCTCCTTCCGTATGAAGGGCTCGACGATGTTACCGAACGGTTCCATTCCCTCTGGACGCACCACTGGGTCCACCACCACCTCACCTGCGCGTGTCACTGCTCCAGAGTCTGCGGCAGTACAAGCCGCTTGGCTGCTCCTGCTGCTTTGCCCTGTCCATGGAAATTGCTCTCGGGCAGTTTAAATTATTCACTATATTTTCGTTTCATCTTGAAAGTTTAAAGGATTACCCTCAGAATATATTCATGTAAAAAGAGCAAACATTAACATGTTGGTTTAATGAAAACACTGATTTTCTGCTGCTGGTACAGGTCACTGGAACTGCATTATCGCTGTTCTGACTCACTTTTACATTAATAAGATAACCTGACATTCCTTTCTGTAATCCTGCTGTAATGAATTTAATGATAATCATATTTAAATGCAATTGCCACAAGCATATTTGATGTCAGCAATGATTATTTGATCATACTACATCTCTGAGGTCACTTGACATTCATTATATATCCCTTCTATCACGTTGGTATTTGCTTGCTCAAGTAAATACTCGGGTCATTAGTTTATTATTGCGTCTGAAAGCTTAAATGCAAATCATGTTGTATCACATTCTACTCTTAGAATTCCACAATTCAGCAGCAATGCGGTGAACTGTATTTAATCTGCACTGCATACTCCTGTTTTGTACACTGTGTGTCCATGGCAGTGTACCCGAGGGTTTGGTGTGACAGAATTAGATTCATTCACACTTTTGCAATTACAATAAAAACGATTACATGAGGTGACGGGAACAATCATTTAAATATTGTAATGCCACCCGATTGAGTTTTGTATTTCATGTTTGTTGCCCTTCCCCTGCACCTCCGATGAGCACGTTAGCTACGTACTGTGCAAAAGAAGTTCAACACGCACACGTACATTGTGAACGGTCATTTAGTGTGTATCCACTCAGCTGACTTATGTGTGTGTGGGGCGGGGAGGTAATTTTCCTAATTGTGTGCATTATGGAAAGTGTGGATTATTATTAACACTGATAAACATTTAGCAGGCCATAAGAAACACGTATAATGTCCTCTGGATTGGGTTTGTAAAAAGAACATTTCCAAGTCGATTGGCACGCGCCGCACGTGTGTCAATCACTAGAGGGCCCTGCTGCCATTCGGCGAAAAATATTCAATTCCCTCCTCGTGGAAATTGTGGAGTTTTCGTTCTAATTTAACTTTTAATTATGCAATTAAAGCACATTATGAATTTAGCAGGTTTGGAGTGGTGGGTGCGGTGCTGGACACGCGACTGCACTACGACACCGGCGATCTGATTTCGATTCAATTGTTTTGGGACCTCAAGGTGGAGGGAAGCGGAGGGCGATTTCCCCCTCCCCCCAACCCCCCTACTCGGATCCACCGCTGAGTGGAGAGCGGAGCCGAGCGTGGGGTGGGCAGCATGCGGCTCTGCACTGCAGCGTGCAGCTCGCTCAGTGCACCGGGGAATCCCCACCGGGGCCTTCTCACGCGGCTCCCTGCTGCTGTTTCTGCTGCCAGGATTCTGTCGTCTCCACCATCGCCACGGTTTCATTGGTGGCGAGACGGGGGGGGGGGGCGTATGATCCAACAGGCACGGTAGGCACTGTGCCTAGGGTCTCCAAAAACTAAAGGGGCTTACGAAACCGAATTTTTACCATA